TGTATCTACTGCGGATTATGCCAAGAAGCATGCCCTGTGGACGCTATCGTGGAAGGACCGAATTTTGAATTTTCAACTGAAACGCACGAAGAGATGCTATACAACAAGGTTGGTAATTTCCTTGTGTTCTGTGGGACAGCTATTTCCGAATCATCAAATGATTACTGTTCTAATGACATAAAAAACATTCTAGTGTGATATATAGGAAGTATTTTTCCTGCAGCAACGTTTTTGAGGCCCTCCGAAATAGGGCCCACCACTATAATGCGGGAAATGTTCGCAAAGTACGACCCCCCCCCCTCCCCGCACCGCAGCTTTCCAATTCCTCGAAGGTTTTGTTCGCCTTAGACATTGGAGCGTGTCGGGAGGGCTGGGTTAGGCACGGCACCAGCGCGTTCTCGACCAAGTGACAGACGGCTAGAGTTGGCTGAGTACAGGCTGAGGCCGCGCCACCCCTTCCCCAGAAACGCCCTAGCTCCCGCAGAGGCCAAGACTATATATTGCGCGTGTGAAAGGGGAAAAAAATCACCAATCAAAAAAACTCATGCCCTTTTCAAGCTCCTGCAACCCCCCGTTGTGTTTCACACAAAGAATGATGAGCTCTGATTCAAATGCAATTTTTGCAATAATTTTTAAAAAAGTGAAATCAGTGAACAAAAATAGAATCTCACCAATGAGTTCATAAAATAAGAAAATAAATATAATTTTCCAGGAAAAACTTTTGTCGAATGGTGACCGTTGGGAACCGGAACTGGCCGCCAACATACAAGCAGAATTTCTATATAGATGAGCCTCATAGAAATAGTAGTAGTCTAGCGATTTCTGTTGTTGTTTTGAATTTAACGAGGAGAGAAGTTGGACACTGTTATTCCGAGTGTTTTGAAGCGTCTAGGTAGTTGGGGAGGGGGGGGAGGAGTTCAGTGGGGATAAAGAGCTACGCCCATTCTCTGCCCGTTTGCACGCTCCTCCTCATCAGCGTCTGCCAAACCACCCAACAATCTCGCCGAGAGGGTGCAGACAAGCAGAAAGGAGGGATTTCATGGCCTTGAAGCGGAATACTTACCTTTCTACTCCCCATTACCCTATCTTAAGGTCGTTTCACTAATTATTTATCGTTGATATGAGATTCAGCTGTAAACATTAGTTTTCAGATTAATACATTCTGTTACCAATACATTCTTTTGCATAAAGGTCGTACCAAGCGCAACATGTGAAAACCAAACGTGCTATCAATTGGGATGTGACAAGACAATCCGTTATATGCCGCGCTGGTGGGCGTGGCCAGTGCACATGAGACGAGTTGCGTCACCTAGCCATTTCAACTGTACACTAAAAAGTCGGGAAAGAT